GGTAAGCGTGAATCACAACAACGATAAGTGCAAATTAAAGAGTAAAAGTGATGATATCGAGTTAAAAAGAGTAATTCCTACAGAAGTTTCAGTTTTGACAATATACTAACAGTAGTTCAAGATACTGTAAATTTCACTTAATCTGCACGAGAAATAATAGTTATCGGCGAAGTCGGTTTTCAAGATTTCAAGCATAGCTTTGTCATGTAACTCGCACTGCTACAAGATTATATTACAGCACTTACAGTAAGCGTATAATGATAACTCACACTTATGGTAAGCATGAATCACACTTACGGTAAGCGCAAATATATGGAATTCAAAAGTGAGTTATTCTGACATTGAACTAATACATTTCCAATGAGCCCTTTTATCAAGTGCGCATTTATAAAATATAACCTACAATGGGCTCAAGAGAACAAGAAATTCTAATATAATATATAATAGGTAAAACAAAAGTCATATGTTACTAGTTTGCTAAAACATCTTAAATTTAGATACTTTAATGAGAAATATATTTTGTATTGTATATAATTATTGCTATTAATAATTTTTACATGAATTCTTCCTTGTAAGCGAGGTATTTTTGTTTTGTTTCCTCGATATCTAAAATGTAATAACCATTCTCTAATTTGTATTTTGGGTAATCAAATATATAAATTGGATCTATTTCCAATWTCTCTGGGTGTTTAGTTACTTTTTTGAATTTTTTCCCCGATTTTTTTAAAAATTCCACAGTAGGAATTTCTTCGTCTTTAACTATAATTCCTACGTAAAAGGCGGAATCATACGCTACTGCAGCCAGCTTGCCACCATCAGAAGAAGTAGGGTTCTGCTGCGAAAAGAGGGRCAATAATTCAGTTTGTATTGAATTTCGTTTGATAGGTCTAACTTAACATAGCCTTATCCATGGATTACTTATCTGATTATCAAATTCACACTTTTTCATAGGTTTCTTTAATTCATGCTACCTATATTAAATTCAAAATAATATATACCATTGTCTTTGTTTGTTCCTTCTCTGTCTCTGTCTCTTTCTCCTCTATTTCGTCTAGACTCTTTTCCTTTGTATAACATAACCAACAACAAACAAACAAATCAGCAAAAAGTGAATCTGCTTTTATTTATATCTGATAGAAAACCGATATTTACCAGATCCATCAAGTCATCTTCACATTCCCTTCTGTCTTCTTCGAGCTTATTAAGCTTTTCCCTTGCACTCTTGGCAACCTTAAGATATTTACAGTTTACATGATTTGCAAGTTATGTTGCCAGATACATCGGTCACTAAATAAAGTCCCGTTTTCTCATGTTTT